GGGATGGGGACGGCGGGGCGTGGGTGGATGTCGAGGTGCCTGAGGGCGCAGAGGACGGCGGTCAGACGGTGGGTGTTTGCCATGCCCGCCGCCTGACATGCATGCCAAGCGTCCAGCGGTTTCCGATCTCGCAACTTGGGCGTTTGTTTCTGCGCCGCGCCCCGCCCCGCTCGCCGCCGCCCTGCCTTGACGCCCCGGCGCGCCCGCACGGGCCGGCCGCTCCAAGCCCTCACGAACCCTATCGTCACCTCCTTCCCCAACCCCTTGCCTCCGCGTCCGCCGCTCAGCGCATCGTCTCCGCGCCGCTCAGCCAGCTGCGGCCGGCGCCGCCGGCCGCGCTGGCGTCATGGGATCCCTTAGTCAACCCCGCGGCCCACACGGCCGACCGGAAGCTGCGCCTCCTCCCCGGCCTGTGCCCGGCCGCCGAGGATCCAGAAGAGCATCAGCCGGAAGCCGAGCGGGCGGCCGGCGGCGGCGGCGGCGCCGCGGCGTTCGCGTTCGCGGCGCGCCAGGAGCTGCGGCGTGGCCGGCTGCTTGACCTCCGCGGCCGCGGCCGCGGCGCGGACTGGGTGCCCGCGGTAGTCGCCGAGAAGCTGGCGTGGGGCTGCGGGCCGCTGGCGGCGGGCGTGCGGCGGGAGCTGCGCGCGCTCGGCCCCGGCGCGCCGCGCGGCGACAAGTGGCGGCTGCTGTTTTCGCGGCTGGCCGCGGCGGTCGCGCCGAGTGAGCTGCTGTTTGGGCCCGGCGGCGAGGGCGAGGGCGAGGGCGGCGGCGCGGCGGGCGCGGCGGGCGCGGCGGCGGCGTGCGAGGCGGTGGTGCAGCATCTGCACTCGGAGTGGGCGGCGCGGCCGGCCGGCGAGGACGGGCGGCGGGGGCGGCTGCGGGTGGCGTGGCACGAGGCGGCGCTGCACGAGGCGCCGGCGGAGGGTGACACCGCCTGCTGGGTCGTGCGGCTTGACACGGGCAAGGTGGGTGACGCGCACGCACTGCGTTACTGATGGCAGTACGGGTAGTAGTAGGTCGTCATGATTGGTGCTTGCTGGTGAAACGTGGTTATTGCTACAATAACGACGAGAACGGCTTCAGGTGCTGTTGAACTGGCCCCCTCCCGTGCCGCCCACCCACCGACCCACCCGCTGCTGCCTGCCCCCGACCCCCGCCCCCTCAGGTCCGGAAGCTGCGCCACGCGCAGCTGCTCGCCGGCGACGCCCGCGTCCGCCGCATGCTGACGTGGGAGGCTGAGTCAGCGTCCTGGGTCGAGCTGCGGGCGCTCGCCGGAGGGGGCGCCCGGCGGCCGCCCGAACTGCAGCACGTGTTGAGTGAGGCGCAAAAGCGGTTCGAAGAGTCCTGCCGCCCCAAGCGCCGCGGGCCGGACGCCCTTGCGGCCGCCGCCGCGCGGCTGCTGCGCCGGATGGCGCGGAGCGGGGGCCTGTACTGGCCTCTGTCGGCCGGCGCAGCACTGATCGGGCGCGCGGCGGGCGCGGCGGCGGGGCGGGGGCGGCGAAAGAGCGGCCCGCCGCGCGGCGCGGGGGCGGCGGGGGACGGCACGGCAGGGGAGGGCGCGACCACGCCCGAGCCGTCCGGCGGGGCCGCGGTGGCCGAAGTCGGCGGGCGGCAGCAGCAGCAGCAGGGGCAGCAGCGGCGCGGCCGCAAGCGGCGCAGCAGGTTTGCCGTGTCGCCCGTCAATTCCGAGGACGAGGCGGAGATATCTCGGCTCTCGCAGCAGTTGGATGGGAGCCGCGCCGCCACGCCGGCAAGAGGCCGCCCGCGGGGGGACGGGGAGGGGGAGGGCGGCGGGGATGGTGCCGGTGACGACGCGCGAAGCCCGATCAATGGCGGCGGCGGCGGCGGCGGCGGCGGCAGCGGTAGGAAGAAGGCGCGCGGGACGCCGAAAGCCACTGCAGAGGAGCGGCGGGAGCGGCGGGCGCAGGAGAATAATGCGAAGGTGCGGGGAAGCTGCCTGGTGCCGCCGATCGCGGCGCCAGCTGCCTTGAGTGAGCGTGCGGCCGTTGGGGCCGCCAGTCGGGCATGGCGCCAGGTAGCCCGATCACCCATGCAGGTGTGCTACTGCTGCTACTCTTGATATAAACAATCCGCCACGAGGGGGCCGCGGCGCTGGAGCCGGCGAGCGCGCTGCGCCTCGGCCCAGCCCCGCGCCTGCGCCCGGCCCTGCCATTGGCGCGAGGGCCGGTGGCAGCGAGCCGCGAGCCGCAAGCCGTGCCCTCCGAGCCGCTACACGAAGCCCGGCTAACCCTCCAAACCACAATCGACCTGGCCTGCCCTGCCTATGCTCCTTTGCTTGCGCCTAGCCGCCATGATAATATTTATGAAAGCAATCTACTTGTTGTCATGTATGATTCAGGTCGACTCTGCAACAGCCTGCCGCCGGCGCGGCCGGCTCCTGGTCCGCCGAGCAAGCGCAGCTCACCCTCCCGATCCTGTGGGCATGCCCTGCCTTCGCCGAGCAAACCAACCAACCCCATCAAACCAACCATCAAATGTACTTGTTCACCGTACATCAAACCAATCCAACCAATCCACCAACCAACTAAATAATCCAACCAATCCAGACCGACGCCTTCACCAACGAGCTGCTGCTGCGAAACCAAGCGGCGCTGCAGGCCGCCGCCGCCGCCGCCGCCGCGGAGGGTGCCGCGGCCCCGGGCGGCGCTGTGGCCGCAGGCGCCAGCGCCGGCGCCGCGGCCGCGCTGGTGTTTGGGGGCGGGGACCCCGAGGGGCGGGAGCTTTATGAGGATCCCGCCCGCGCGGGCGCGGCGCCAAAGGTGCGCGGCGACGCCCGCGCGCGCCCTGCGCCGGCCGCCTTGCGCTCGCTGCCGGCGGGCGCCCACGAGTAGAAGACGGCAGGGCGGCCGCCCTGCTGGCCGCCCGATTCGGCACACGCGAAGATACCCAGCCGCCCCACCCAAGCTTGCTTCACGCCTTTGGTCGCTTCCGCCCGCTGCTACTGCTGTCCCCATAACGTCTGCACGTGCAAATCGGTTGCAGCAGGGACCTCCGCACCGCCCGACCCGACCGCCCAACTGCCTGATCTCCAGCACCCCACATCACGCCCCCGCCGGCGTCCCCGCGCTACCCCCGCCCCCCGCCTCCCCAAATGTCCACTTTGCAGTTGGCGGCCACAATCGCTCCGAAGCTGAAGCCTCACCAGTGGCGCGGCCTGCGCTTTCTCTGGCGGGCGATTGTTGAGGAGCACGCACTGGCGGCGGCGCG